TAAATAGAATTAATTAATTAAAACAACTAAGTACATAGTTATGATGAGCAAGAGTGCCTCTTCTAAAATTGTGAATTTTATGGCCCCAGGGTCAGGGGTTCTAGTGCTAGGGCTATATAGATTATGTAGTGAAAATGCATTAATTCTTTGAAAATCTTCTTCTCTGCTCCTGTCTATCAAATAAACTAACAAAGTACATAGTTATGATGAGCAAGAGTGCCTCTTCTAAAATTGTGAATTGTATGGCCCCAGGGTCAGGGGCTCTGGTGTTCAGGGCACGGCTATATGGAATAGTGAAAATGCATTAATTATTTGAAAATCATCTTCTCTGCTCCTGGGTATTAAATAAATTAACTCAGTGTATAGTTATAATGAGCAAGAGTGCCTCAATAAGATTTATGAATTTCATGGCCCCTGTGACAAGGGTTTTGCCATTTGGTGTAAGGGGGCTCTTTTGAAAATACATTAATTCTTTGAAAATCTTTTCCTTTTGTCCTGGGTATTAAGCCAATGATCCAAGTATTTATATTTATGATAAAGAAAGGTGCATTGAGCAAAATGGTTAATTTCATGCCCCCTGGGTCAGTGTATTTAGGGGGGAGGGGGGTTACATAGTCTGGAAATAAATTAATGCTTTGAAATCTGCTCTTTGGTGTTGATTAACAATTCATGATGAAAAAAAATTTATGATAAAATTTCCAAAATTTTCTTAATTGCTGAAGTAGAACATGTTCACTGTGTTAGGAAAAAGACATTAGTAAAGCAAAGGAAAATTGAAAGAAAATGTAATAAACAAAACAAATTAATTCTATGAAAATCTTTCCCTTTTGTCCTGGGTATTAAGCCAATGATCCAAGTATTTATATTTATGATAAAGGAAGGTGCATTGAGCAAAATGGTTAATTTCATGCCCCCTGGGTCAGGGTATCTGAGGGGGGGGGTGCTACTATCTGGAAATAAATTAATGCTTTGAAATCTGCTCTTTGGTGTTGATTAACAATTTATGATGAAATAAAATTTCCTGTATTTGGCCGAGTATTATACACATTGATGTAAAATACGCACCCCTGTTTTGAGTCTGAAACTGGGGAAAAAAATGCAGTTCGGATGTATTATATGCAACAGAAAAATTTAACAAGCGATGTTCTGAACTTTGAAAATCACGGTAATTTGTTACGAAAATCGGTGCGAGGGATTAAGTGTCAAAAAATTACTGAATACACCTTTTTTAAAATACACACTCTAATCCATATCGTGGCAATCTGGAGAAAATTATTTATTCATTTATTTCAACAAAGCAGTGTACAAGATAATGTTGCTTAAAAGTATTAACAGAATTTTTTTATTAGCATAGTTACAGTGATTTTGAAATTATCCATCCCCATATTCTTAGATGAAATAATTTTATTTCAATAAAGCATGAGATATTGTTGAAAGTTTTAACAGTTGTCATATTTAATTTTGGTTCTAGGTAATCATGCTGAAAATTACGTTACAATACTTAAACAGGACACGAAATTGAAACATCAAAGTCTTTATTTAATTAAGAAGACTACGGTTTTCCTCTTCTGAATCTTCCCAGATATTATGTTTTCTAAAGAGCACGAATAATGATAACACTGAAGTTTTAGCATAATTCATATTTCATTTGTCAACTCTCAATCATTTAAACAAGAGGCCAATAAGTATAAGATAAGGTAAAATTACATTTAACAAGTGTTTAATTGTTTAATGTGTCGTAATCAACACATGCTCACACATACGAAAGGTCATTAACCGACCCCAATTTTTAACAAAGAAAATAATCAAAGCAATTAACATGACAGTAAATAATCAGTGCTCTAACTGTAAAAACATTGCTTTGGAGTCGGTAGACAATTAATTGCTGGAGGGGTGTTGATAGGTAATTATCATTTGATCAGTGCACATGTGTCACAACATTGGCTTCCAATTAATTGCCCGGAGGGGTGTTGATAGGTAATTATCATTTGATCAGTGCACATGTGTCACAACATTGGCTTCCTTTCATTGGGACGTATTGAGGGGTGTTTATGTTGCAGCAGATTTTCATTGAGTTATTTAAAACCTAAAATAAATTTTTATTTTATTGCATTTCATTGAAAAATGACTTATTACTTTGTCTGGCAGATAAGCTGCATGTGCACTATCATTACGGAAGCTCGTGGCATAGCCATTAGTGAACGTCTAAAAATAACATCGGTAATGGCGGCCTACTCGGAGACAATCAACATGCATCTCAAATTACTTTTAACTTGCTTTTTTATGTTATTTTAGTATCAAAAGATTATGAAAGAAACATTTTTAACAAGCATACCTTCCAACAATAACTTTCCGAAGTTTAAAAATATGGCGATAAACAAAAGAAATTGCATATGTCTCTAGGTAATACTACGGTATGTATGTATGATAACCGTGTTTCACCTGAAAGAAGAACTTATCAAAATCCCATTGTGATGTAAAATATGCATCCCTTTCTCACAGAAATTTATTTCAGGAAAAAAGTGCGTATTATATTCCAACAAATACAGTATGATAAAATTTCCAAAATTTTGAAATATGTGGGCTGGGGTCAGTGGCTCCATTTGGGAAGGGTGCATAACAGTAACTGGTTATAAAGTGGAAGTGCATTTTCTCTTTGTTACTCTGATCTACCTCTGGGTATTAAGTACTGTAGATCACTAAATTTTCGCGACACCTTATTTTCGCGAGATAGTCATTGACTCTTGATTAGCGAGACAAAATTTTCACGAATTGTGGTTATTGCTTTATATAATCTTAAGGAATACTATTATACGCCAGAATTAAATTTTCGCGAGCACACTGTCGCACTGAAAATAAAGTTCTCGCGAATAAAAATGATTTACAGTAAGTAAATAGAGTAAGCATGCTAAGTTTTTAATTAGGATAAGCAATAGTGCCAGTCTTTCAAAATTGTGAATTTCATGACCTCTGGTTTAAAACACGAACCAAATTTAATTATTGGAAAGTTGTTACATGATATTCAGGTGACCTATAAGGCCCATGGGCCTCTTGTTAAATAATAATACATGAATTGTTTTAATGCATATTTATGCCTTGGCACGTGTACATACTGTAGTTAAAGAAAAAATATGTCCCAATGATAATGCAATACTTTTAAATTTTCATATATTTAGGGCCCCGCAAGGATTTGCGGGTGCCCTATAGTAATCACTCTGTCCATCCGTCTGTCTGTCTGTCCGTCTGTCACTCTTCCGTCCACAAATTTTCTGTTTTTTTCTAATAACTTTTTTTATCTTTTTTAACTTTTTATGGTTGCCCAATCAAGTTCAAATTCGGTATGGTAGTTCAGTAGGCAGAAATACATATTTTGATGCTAAGTTTGGTTCTCTGTGTCTTCTGGTTTGGAGCTGGGGTGGTGGGGTAGATTCTTTAATTATGCATAAGAATGAATGGACAACTTTTTTTATGGTTGCCCAATCAAGTACAAATTTGGTATGGTAGTTCAGTAGGCAGAAATACATATTTTGATGCTAAGTTTGTTTCTCTATATCCTCTGGTTTGGAGCTGGAGTGGTGGGGTAGATTCCTTAACTTTATATACGAAAGCATTGGCAAAGAGAGATAACTGCTGAAGATGTTCCATTGTAAACTGAATGCTGCTATGAGTCCCTTGGGATTAATTAGCTTTCCTCCTGAAGAAAATCCAGAGCATTAACTTTATCTGTCAAATTGAGATGAATTACCACTTCTGTCTGCAAATGAAGTTTGTTTTGAAGTTAAGTCAATTTGGAATGCTATGAACACTCTGAAATGTGGATTTAAATATAAATTTTTATAATTTATTTTTGTTTAATAGTTATGATTTCATTGAATTCTACTAACAAGAAATAGATTAAAGAAGATTTTTTGATTTACTTTTTTCACTTTATGTTAATTCAAGAATACAGTAAAACACGTTTAGTGCGAACACGGATATAGCGAATTCACGGATATAGCGAAGTCCTTCTAGGTCCCCGGCAAAATTCTTAACAAATCTTTTTAAAGATTTTACGGTTATAACGAACTCTGATATAACGAATTTACGGATATAGCGAACTGATTTTGAGTCCCACTGAGGTTAATATAATGAAATTTACAACTTTTATAACGAACTTTCAAAATTTGATAGGTTAAACTGACTTTATTTTCTTTTAGCTTTTGTATATAAAATTCAATTCATAACAAAATCTTGGTTATCTAAGGTATGTTTTGTAATATTTGCTTCACTAACATTTTTGGTAGTAAAACTTGATGGAAAACATGCATATTGCGAATTCGCTATATATGATTATACGAATTCGTTATACTGATATAACGAATTACGGATATAGCGAATTAAATTCACTGGTCCCCAGGACTTCACTATAACCGTGTTTTACTGTATTATTAATTTTTAGGAGAGTTGTATAAAAACCCCATTCTATCATTAATACTGAAAAAGTTCTTATTGTAACTTTAGAAGAAAATGATGAGAGAGGTACAATTAATCCCTTGGGATTAATTACCTAGCCTGCTGCAGAATTTCTCTATCTGTCACTTTAAGATTAATGAAAACCTTTGTCTGCAACTGCTGTTTGTTTGAAGTTAAGGTCAAGCCTTCATGATATTTGCATTCATTGGAGGCTGGCATTTTATATAACACAAGCTTCATAATTGCTTAAATAGACATTCAGTGTTAAGTTGTTCTTTACTGCTTAATGTAAATACAAGGATATTATTTTCAGGTTTTTGAATATTCAGGAATTATCTTGAAATTTTAAGAATACAATTGCTGTTGCTATTGCTTATTCTTCGTACATTTTTTAATCATCCCGTAAGCTGCACCCTATTAATTCTACCCCATGGCGGGGCCCTTGCTGACTGGTCAGTTTTCTAGTTTTAAACTCTTATGGGCCTCTTCGTCATCAAACAGTAAAATTTTAAACCTTGAAAATCAGTGATTTCTCTTCTCAATTTTAGGTTTTTTCAAAAAGAAGAAAATAATCATTGCAATCTTTTTTGGAGTGGCAATAGTGGCAGTGGTGATTGGAGTTATTCTAGGAATATTCATGAAGTGCCCTAATTGTATGTATTTAATAAGTGTCTATTAAAGAGCAGAAGACTTAATTTCCTCTTCTTTTACACAATTTAGTTCATTTGGGCACAGAATTAAGTGAGCTTTTCTCAAGAAAAAAAATCTGTTATTTGCCATTATACACTGCCCTTATTGTTGTTGTTATGCCTAGGTCACATTTCCCGGCCGGTAGCCGTAGACCAGTGGTAATCGGTAGTAATCTGTGGTGTTAACGATGCCCCAACATCGGTCCATATCGGCCTAGTAGTCCTAAAAGTGGGTCTATGACAGGTGACCGAAAGACAACTCACCGAACGACAACTCGCCGACACTTTTTTCACCGACACTGTAAAACTCGCCGATACGACATGTCACCGAAAGACGTGTGTACATCATCGACAGAAAATATAAAACATGGAAATTTAAAAAATATTAAGAGAAATTTATGTATGTGAATAAACGTTTTTATTCATTTCAAATTTTTTTTATTAAATCAAAAACCTCACCCAATATTGCCGACCTATGACCTTGCTCGGATTCACGAGAAGCAATCTATACATATGCATAAGACCAACAATCATTATGATGGATATACAAAAAAGACAAAGAAAAACGTTTATATATATATCTTTGATTATGTTTATTATATCTGAATACTTAACACAACATCTAACAATTATTTTATATGAATTTCAACTCGCCGACACTATTGTCGGTGAATTGTACATTCGGCGAATTTCACTTTTGTCGGTGACCTGTCTGTCGGTGAGTTGTCTGGCACCGCCTAAAAGTATCAGTCACATTATCCAGCGATGTGAATAGGATGGGCAACCAATGTGTTTTATGAGAAAAATGGCGTGGTTGCCGGCCAGACTTACAAAGGCCCAGCGATGCATTGCTAATCATAAAACCAATGTTTGGTCTAAAATCGACTGATGATCGGTCGTTATCTGTTGAACACCACTCAACCCCCCGATGACCTCAGATTCAACGGATATTGGACGATGATCGACTATACATCGGCCGATCCTTGAAAGATGTGTTAATGATGGGTTGCCGATGAGGAGCGATGTGAGGCATCGTTGGAGACGTGGCTGAATTTTAAATACGAATTATTTCCTACCGATGACCCCACTGATTCGCAAAAAAGACTCAGTCACCATCCGATCACTAGTGGTGCCTGGCCCGGCTGGCAACCACGCCATTTTCATCAAAAAATGCATCGGTTTCTCATCGTATACCCCATTGTTGGATAATGTGACCTTTACTTTACCTAAACCTTTCATATTTTTAACTGATTCTCTCTCTCTCCCAAACCACTAGGTGGGCAGTTTCAACCAAACTTGGCATAAAGTCATTAGATGGAAGGGTTGCATGTCTGTTCATATGAAGAACTTGATATACCCTTTAAAACAAAGGATATTTCAGAAATTTAAAAAAAATTATTAAAAAAAATTAACTACCAGTAATAATATTTTCAGTCTAAATGTTTAAACAAATGGTGAACACCTTTTAGATCCAGAAAACATTAGTGATTGAATACCTTCTCTGAAAAACCAGCAGGGAGTGTTTGTCCCTTTCCAACAGTTCTAGTTTTGCTTTCTTTTAGGTGGAATTACTGTGGTAGCTAGCATTGCAATTGGATTATTTATAGCAATTGTCCAATGGATCTTTATCATGTTCTGGATTTGTAAAAAAGGTAAGTAAAATATGTATTATTTTAATTTACTCAATAATTATTGTCATACCTTTAAGAGTTGTGTTCTATATACTGTTATAATACAGGGTTATTTTCGCCCTGCTTTATTTTCACCCTTTCACACTTGCAAACAATTTAGCCCTGTTTTAAATTTGCCTAATCTCAGTTTTGTTTAAGAAATTATACTGTATTTTTTTAAATTCTTTGAATTTGCCCAGTTTTAAATTCGCCCAACCAAGGTTAGGGCGAAAGGGGCAAAACTAATGCCCTGTTCACACTAAGAGTATTTGAATTAAACGTAAAGTTACTGTGAATTAGCTTTGCTTAGCGTTCACACGGAGAATTTAATGCGAATTAGTTTACTGCGCATTAAATTACTTCGCATTAGCTCAGTGTGAAAGCTAAGCGAAGCTAATTCAAATTAAATTTTGAGGCATGCGTAATGGCAAATTAGGTCAAATGCCACATGTCCGTGGTCAGCTTGAAGTATTTGTGCTATTTTTGAGTGAAAACTAAGGAAAAATGTTGTTATAAATAATCACTAAAATGTGTGTACAGACACTGTAACATTATGTCAAATGCATCTGCTCCTGCATAAGGTGACGTGATTTGCAAATGACGTCATAATAGCCTTACTGACGCCTGGCCATGTAAGTAGAATTTTAATTCGCATTTAATAGTTTACTTCACATTAGCTGTCGTGTGAAAGCAATTTCATTTGCATTAGTTTGATTCGCATTAGTTTACTTCGCATTAATTTACTGCTAATTAAACTCGTCGTGTGAACAGGGCATAAAACGGGGGTGAAAATTTACCACTATACAGTAATTCTATGCTTAAAAAATCTAACATTTCCAATTCTTTACTGAGCGGGAATGAAAAAATCGATATTGGACTGTAGAGTGAAATGTTGGACCTGTTTATGAGATATTGGACCGCTTATGTCACAGGGTGGGTGGGGTCAGCTATAATTTATTTGCATTTGTTTGACAGAACTTAAGTGTGGGTAAACAAAATTTTCATCTGATATGATAATTTGCCAAATTATTAAATATAAAAGACATTATATGATCACTTGGTGCTGCCATTGCTGAGTTTCCTGATGTTGGACAATTTCATGGTTTATAAATGTCTGCTCCTTCTGCCTGAGACAATACACTTGTTAGTAAAGACAGTAACCTGACTTGTTAATTATTAAGTGTTAAAAATGAACAACTGATTTCAATGCAAAATATTGTTTAAAAAAAAAGAACATGATATGTCTTGATTGTGCCATGATAAATTGCTTGTTTTAGTTCAGTATCTAGTGCTCATGATTGAGTTTCATCACTTTTCAACTTGACTGACTTAGGACATCTGGACTATAAATCAACAATAAATGTGGTCTGTCTTCTCCTTGAATCTTTATTAACATTCTCAATGCACTGTATTTCTCTGTAGCCTGTTTAAACATTCTCTCAAGGTATACTAGAATGCAAGTTTTTCCAGAGGGTGAAACTTAATTACAGAATTTTGGGAAAAAAACATCAAGATAAATATTACTAATTATCACAAACTTCATTATTCAGCCTGTAACACACACAGCTGGGCATGTGTTACAGGTAGTAAGTTGTTCAATGCATCATCTCAGTTCTTATGACTAAAACCATTAGGAATATGAGATGAAATAGTGTCAGTTATATTTATGTCTTTGATATGTTCATCATCAGAATTGATGCAAGTTTATATTGTTCAACAAAATATGTATATAAACAGGCTAATTGAGTTCTCTAATGGTTGATTTTTATCTGATAATTATTTTTAAAATCCACAACTGTAATTCACACAAGCATTAAAACTAGGGATGTCAAATCGGTCAATTTTCAATACTCGGTTACTCGGACGTTTTTCCGATCGAGTACCCGGGTACTCGGTAAAAGTGTAAATAAATATGAACAAATAAATTGAAGACTGTAAAACATTGTAAACTATTGTAGAAATAAAACCAGATGCACTGATAGGAGGCTTTCCCGTAAATTTATGTATTTCTGTTGTAATAATGATGAGCACTTCGTGCCCGACGAAATTTCATATCTTATTTTTTAAAATTCAATTTATTTATCAGATAAACACAAAAAATAAAATCATAAGTTGTTCACAGTGTTTTTGTTTAAAAAAAATAATCTTCTCCGTAATTGTAATATAACTCTTTGGCGACCAGGTATCAGTCGTCAGAGCTACATGTACGTACAGAATCAACTTGAACTTGATCAAGTTCTCCTAACAGAGCTGATTTACGATTTTCGTACACTTTTTCGATCCTAGATTTTATAATATTACGGGACGGTATTTTGTAGTTTGGTGCAACGATGGACATCAGTTTTTTTTTCAAGCCTTTACCTTCAACCAGTTGTATTGGCATATAATCAAACACAACCATATCAACAATCGCACGTGTAATATCATCCGCTCTTTTCCCGATAATTGACGGTTTCTCGGAGAATTGACAAAATTATCTAATTTATTAAACATAATGGATCTTAAACCATGTTCAGTGAAAACAAATAATTAAACCCAAACAAAAAATAAGGGTAGAAGACAGCCGAAGGTGAGAAAAGTCAGGTACCCCATGTGCTTAATCATGATAATTACTGTATAAACACTGCCACAGGCAATAACGGTCATTTAGAGTCGTAGTTAACCCTAATTACTGTATGTACAAGTGCAATGAGCATTTTATGTTTTAAAACAGATTAATGTATTAATAAAAAATAAGCTTAGAAATATTCAAAAATATACATCCGAGTAACCGAGTACCGATTTTAGTATTCGATACTCGGACGTTCGATCGAGTACCTGGTTAACCGGGTACTCGTTGACATCCCTAATTAAAACCCTTTTTGTGCATGCATTAAAGATTTATTCCTAAAATAGGCTTTTGACTATATATATATCTATTCATTGATATTAATTTACACAGGAAGTGTATTTATTGATGAACCTTCAAGTGCATGCCAATTAACAGTCTTTCATAAGTTAATTAACACACTACAAGATATGTAATGAAATACCATACAGGGGGCGTGTATGATATGGTGCAAATTCATTTATATCTTCATAATTTGATTTCATCTGTACAGTATGTGTCTTGCAAATTTGAAATAATCATAACTGCATGCAGAATGCAGCATGTACTCCTTTAAAGGGGTCTTGTTTTGTTGTTCATATACTGTCAGCTTCTGGGAAGTTATTCAAGCAACTGAATGTCTTTGACTGTGTTTTAATTGTTACATGGATCAATATGCACACATGTTTATGATTGCATGAATAGAGGCACATGGTTCCTTACTGTTGTTTTGATTTAATTTGTCTTCTCTTTTTTTGGTACCTTCATCTTCATTTGACATCTTCATTTGACATCTGCCATGTACATAGCGAACATCAGAGAAGAACATAATCGTATTCCCTTCATCTAAGCCTGCTAAGGTATATCATCTTTGAGAACTGTGTTTGAAAATTTGATTTAGTATGGTAAATCAATATGGTTTCACATTTGTTTGGAAACAGAAGAATGATAATTCAATTTCACCAATTGTATCAATCCAACGATCGAGTCTTAACTGATTGATCACATATTTTACATTTTTGAAAATTCTATGTACAGTGTACTAATATTCCAAATGGAACATATTTTAAATTCAGTATGAAAACAAGGAACAAAAAATTGTTATGAAACAAGTCAGCAAATTATGATGCCAGATAGGATTTCCAGTACCGATGTACAGGCAAAGTGTTTGGGCTTTAAATTTCATATGTAATATAAAAAAATTATTGAAAAAATTGGAAAAAAAAATTTTTTGATCGTGCCAAACAGTACCAAATGATGAGGATGTTCATTGTATAGTTGCATTTCATTCCAAAACAGTAGTGAAATCAACAAAATATTTTCTTGCAAGAACATAAAAATAATACAGTAGAACTGGCCGGGGTTATAATAAAGTCACTGGGACCTATGATTGATTACTTCGTTATATCCGTAATTTGTTATATCCATATTAGAATCTTGTTAAATTAATATAGTTGGGAATCCAAGATAGCTTTGCTGTATCCATGAATTTGCAATATCAGTGTTCACTATAAATATGTTTTACTATAGTTTTAAACATGTTACTTATAAATGGAGGTCAACAAAATGAGGAAAAGCATTTTAACTGTCATTGAAAATATTGCAATACAGCTTATGATATCACCATATATAGCAATATGAAATTTCATTTTGGTACCCAGCCCTGATGTAAATGTTTTAATATTGCCAAAACATTGATTTTGGGTATGGTTTCCATTTATTGATACCACAGAGTATATGATGATGATTTACTACCGGGTATTATCACAAATCTCGATCGAAAGTATTGCACTGCGGTCGAAATAGCATTGCCTTGAGTGTTGACACTATTGAATTTGACAATTGAACAATTTGAATCATGGGTTTCATTCTATAAAACAAGCAATTTAATTGGTTGATTAGGACCCACCTACTCTCGTGCAGTATCCTTTGCCTATTTAAGTTGGAAAGTGTCTAACAACCTTGTGATTGTCGAAAACCTATGGTGATCTTTCGAACAAAATACACAAAGAAACAAACTACAAAATCACTTTTTAGCATGTGATATATTCCTTTCACAGAGGGTACATGTTTATAGCATTCGATGACACACCTATTTTCATTTTGTTGTACATGTAATTCTGCCGATTTTCTATTCACGAATTTTCCATTTTCAGTGTTGCTCTGCGTACTTACGTAGAAAGAATACCCAGCTAATACTGGAGCACCTGATGAAAAAATATATATATTCATATGTGTTAAAACATTGGATTTATTCAAAAGTTTACTGTTTTGTTGTCACGACTGTCAACAATACAATGTTTCAAATGTATGTATGCTACTGCTATTTTAACGGTTGTCATGGCAATATTAAAACATGCGATCAGAAAAAAATCGAAATCCTTGTGTGGTTTTT